CTTTGAAAAGAAGTGAAGGCAAGTAGACCCCAGTCCCCCCATACTCCTTTCAAAAGAAGTGAAGGCGAGTGAATGGATGTTTGAACCTGCATTTCATATTCTTTGCCTTAAGACATCTGTCACGGCGAGTCCCATCGGGATCCGGGACTCCCCTGATGGGCTTGAGGGGCTTCATTCTGCGCTCTTTACAATGGTTTCTTACGCCAAAGAACTGTTCTCTTGCAGACCGGATGGAACCTTTGGGCTTCAAGTTTCGTTCGCACACACCGCTGCCCGCCCAGCACGCACGGTGCAGAAAAGCCACTGGCAGGCCCGGCGAATGGCCCTGAGTGAAGACTCGACCAACCCTGTCGCAGGTGTCGCCCAGAATGTCCTTTAAACCAAATTAAACGGTGGCCCCAGTAGTTCCGAATAGTTCCGAGGTCAACCAGAGTTGATGGTGAAATCGCAGCCAGGTGCGACATTGGGACTGCAGCTGAGGTTTGGCTGGAAAAGTCAAAAAGCCGTGGTTCAGGCGGAACTCAAAATGAGGCTTGCAAAGCTTTGGCTAACTGTACTGTTTGAATATCTAAATAACTATTATATAGTCGTGGGTCTGTGCCGATCACCACAAAAAATAGTGGATGATGCTTAGAAAAGGCTGTTAGGGAAAACATTCTGCAAATAATATCAAATTAACGCAAATCATGCTGCACATGTATAAAATATGTTTTTACCGACTTACTTGGTGGGAAATTGCAAAACTCATTGGAAACGGGACAACCCCAATGTCTACACCGAACCAAAATCAACACAAACCTCCCAAGTTCCCATCTTCCCACGCCCAGCAGCCACACCAGGGGCTTGTCCCTTCGGCTGCCCACTGCGCCACTTCCGCACAAGGTAGGCCTGGCCCACAAAGGTACATCCTGTCTTTCCCCAAACCCACAAGCTGCATGTATTTAAGAATGGATAGGGAAAATCCCTATAGTATCGGTGTCCATATCGACTTCAAACCCCAAGGGCAAAACTAAGAATCCCAGACACTCCATGGGACTGCCATATTTACATATACATTGACCCCTTTTACCACCACCCGTCACCACCGTTTTCAGGTCGGCCCGACTTGGCAGTCCCACCCCCACGTCGTGTCGTGTCTGGTTGACCAACCCCATCGCTGCGACCGCTCCTTTCGCGGAGACCACGGAGAGACGGTGCCGGTCCCGGAGACGAGTCGTCCATCCGAGCGCGGGAGGAAGCTCCTCTTGGGATCTTGGGATCTCGGGTCTGCATCCGATTTGGGGGAGGAAGCAAGGTCCTCTGAAACGATGGGAGGCTGTAGAAGCAAGAGTCCGTCTGTCTTCAAAGGGCCCAAGTGCCACTTCCGTGTTAGTACGGTACGGTCAAGGTCCAGGTCAAACCTTTTTCTGTAATCCCCGGAGCAGTGCCATTGTTACTGCGGGACTTTGGTTTCAAAAAAAGCTCTCCGAGCGAGCCACGCTCTTCCCCCCCGGGCAGGGCACGGAGCCTCATTCATCATCGCGAATTTCAGCTCGCGAGTGTTCATGTACGCCACTGTGGAAGGTTCAGGCCTCAGGGGGGATGAAGGAAGGTCAAAGATCCAAATCATCAAGATTGATCCCTGACCAAACATCAAACATCAAACACCAAAGGAAATAGAACCGAAAGGATTGACCAAACATCAAACACCGTGATTCATCCTTTCAGTTCTATTTCCTTTCTTGCACCCCCATCGTTCATCCCACCACGGGTTCATTCCCTGATCCCACACACCAAGTAGCGTGACATGATCAGCCTGGATCCAAAAGGCCTTGGGGGAGATCCGCTGCCTCCTGGGAAGAGCATGCAGTTGGGAAGCTGATTTGGTGTCTTCCGTGGATTTACAGCAGTGCTGCAGGGTCTTTAACGCACCCATTTTTTATGAATGTTTATTCTGTGTCATTTGCGCAGGGCAGGCTTTCACTATCTCACAAAACATCCATTTTTGTTGAGGAGGTGCAGCCTAGATTCACGCACCTCGCACCAAGCTCTCACTGGCTGACTTTTTGTAACTTCATACAATGGTCAGCTTGTTCTTCAAACGGAAGGTCCAGCCCCCTCCCACACACTTGGACCGCGGGGATCACCCCCTTTTCAGGCAGTGGGCCCTCAAAGACATAGACCTCGCCGAGCCCGCTTACTCGAAACAACCCCCAGTGCGCTTCATGCACCCGCCCGCGGTCTGCTAGTCTGAGGCAGAAAAAGCAGAAAGAGCCGTTTCAACCCACAAAAAAAATCAAATCACGTTCTCGACACGCTTATACCTTAGCCTTGTATACCGATGATTTTCCAAGCGAACAATCGTGTACGGGCTCGTCTGGCGCAGCCTGCATGATGTCAGCCCAATGCAGCCATGTGTTTAAAAAGAAGAGTCAACAAAATGAAAAATAAAGCAAGAAAGAACTTCGAACGGTGTTGTTTCTTCGGGCAAGGAAGAAGTTGACCGGCGATAAGTTTCCAACTGGGATGCAAGGATGAGAGATGACTAAGCATACAGGGGACAACCATGAACTTGAGAGCCTTTACCAGTAGCAGCTGATGGAGTACGTCTATAATTAAGCCTCGGTAAGACCGGTAAGACTAAGTTCTGGGATGGCGGCGGGGATGGCCAAGGAGCTATAACCTGCTCTCTCTCTCTCTCTCTGTGTGTGTGTTTTCAACCTTTCAGGATTGAAACTCGCAAACGAAATGAATACGTAGAGGGAACACCTCTCCTACGCGCGCAGAAAGACCAGAAGATCCTGAAGCACTCCGGGTCCATGCCGCAGGGTCTACCCCGTGCAACAGCCAGGAGGTTCTCCTCAACCTCAGAACGAACTTCTCAAGAACCGACCCCCCAAGAGCAGCCTTTCTGAAAGCCCGAGGACCCACCAGCCGGATCGATCCCGCGCGTCGCTGGACAGCGACAGCGGAAGGCGCCTCTTGAGAGGGCCGGGGTCTGAGAGGTCCTCACGGCGAAGCGTGGCGAGAGGAATGGGACAGTTGTTCACCAGAGAGACGCGAAATCAGAGGGTTCTTCGAGTTTGGGGGGGAGTCCTAGCTAGCCATCTATAGCCGACTTCTCCGACTTCAAGCACAATGAAAGGAAGAACGGCTGGAGACCAGGAAAGAAGGATCCGCATCCAACAAGACCTACCCAACTCAACTGTTTAAGAAAAGGTTAACAAACACCCTGAGGCGCCCATGGCGCCCTCATTTTGGTGTTCATTTCACGTCCGCCAGACGGTCTGGATCCCGTTGAGCAGTCCATTTCGCGTTGCTC